TATATTCCCAATAGAGGAATTAGAAATGCAGATTCTTAAGCTCCACCCTAGACCGACTGAATCAGAAACTCTGGGGGCAGGCCCCACCATTTGTGTTTCTAAAGACCAACATGTGGCTCCAATGCACCCGAAAATTCAAGAACCATGTATTTCCTGGACCCTGATGGGTTAGTTATCTTCCAATTTTATCAGAGTTCTGATGGGGGAAACACACACACACACACACAACTACTTTATTCTTTTAAATTTTTGAATTGTGGTCTCACACTGTCACCCGGGCCGGAGTGCAGTGGCATGGTTATGGATCACTACAGCCTCGACCTCCAAGGCTCTGAAGAGCCTTCCTCCTCAGCCTCCCAAGAAACTGGGACTACAGACACTTGTCACCATGCCTGGTTAATTCTTTTATTTTGGACAGATGAAGTCTTGCTATGTTGCCTAGGCTTGTATTGAGCTCATGGGCTCAAGCAATCCTCCTGCCTCCGCCTCCCAAAATGATAGGATTACAGATATGAATCCTTTGCTCCCAGCTCAGAACTACCTTTAGTAAATAACTGACTTGAATAAAAGCAATTTCAAGTACCATATAAGACATTTCTGGGATGGACAGAAATTTTTTTTGAGTCAGAGTCTCACTGTCACCGAGGCTGGAGTGTGGTGACATGTTCACAGCCGCTGCAGCCTCTACCTGCTGGGCTCAGGTGATCTTTCTGCCTCAGCCTTACAAGTAGCTGGAACTACAGGCACATGCCACCTCACCCAGCTAATTTTTTGGATTTACTGTAGAGACGAGGTTTCACCAAGTTGCCCAGGCTGGTCTCGAACCCCTGGGCTCAGGCAATCCTCTGGCCTTCACCTCCCAAAGTGCTGGGATTACAGGCATGAGCCACCGTGCCTGGTTTGAATATTCTTTTTTTTGAGTTGGAGTCTCACTCTGTCGCCCAGATTGGAGTGCAGTGGCCGCTCCCGGCCACCGCAGCCTCGACCTGCTGGGCTCCAGCGATCTTTCTGCCTCAGCCTTCCAAGTAGCTGGAACTACAGGCGCGCGCTACCACACCCGGCTAATTTTTTGATTTATTGTAGAGATGAGGTCTCGCCAAGTTGCCCAGGAGGGCCACGAACCTGCGGGCTCAGGCAATTCACTCGCCTCAGCCTCCCAAAGGCACAGGATTACAGGCTGAGCTACCGAGCCGGCTTGAATATTCTTTCCACAAACAAACAAACAAAAAAGTCTCTCTTAGGATTTCAGCTGTTGGGGCTCAAAAAATGGTACCCAAAGTATGGTGCTTTGGCATGCTGAGTACATTGAAGTAAGGGAGATTGAAAGGCTTCAGAAGCAGCCTCAGAAGCAAAGTGTCTCTTTGGCCTTCTACCTCTCTCTTGCTCCTCTTTCCAGAAGTCATAGCAACCAGAATTTCTCTTCCCCAAGATGGGTCACAGAAACTAGAACCCCTCTCCCCCAAAGCAAGCCATAAACCTAGAAGAATGACTCCAACCTTTCATCACATTTCTGTGTAGGAACTGGCCATACAGAAAGTCTCTGACCTTCTTTGTCTGGTAGTAGGTGGTAAGACCCTTGTTCCATTGGGGTCCTACCTTTTACCTTTTACCTGTGGGGAAGAAACGCTACACAGAGATGCCAAGAAGAATCAGGACAGGCCTTGCTGGGTTTCCCTCTACCTCAGTCTAATATCATTAGATCACACCCTTGAGGGCCAATTATATCTGTGTACAACTGTCCTGCATCATTGACTCTAACATAAGAAATGAACAGTTTTACTCTGGTCTTTGGGTTATTTCTGAAGGCTCCTTTGTCACATAAAACTTTGATTAAATTGATTTTTATGCCTTTTTCTTGTTAATCTGCCTTTTGTTACAGGAGTGTCCTTGATGGTGGATGAGGATGAGGATTGGTATCATACTCTTTGGCCCCTACAGAACCATGTTAAAACCATTTTCTTTTTCTTTTCTTTTTTTTGAGTCAGAGTCTCACTCTGTTGCCCAGGCTGGAGCCA